CTGCACAGTCTTCCGAGCAATCCTCCGGACGCTGATAATCCGCAAATTTGCGACGTGTGCCTGCGAGTTTCCGGGTTATTCCATGGAAAATTTCCCTCCTCCCTTCAAATAATTATCATCTAAAGACCACTTTGCGAATTTACCGCTTCGTATTTATCGTTTCACTGTTAAATTAACGTGTCGTTCATATTGCCGTGATTTATAAATGGAATTAGCCCGTCGTGTCCTCGAATTTCGAGGGAAACCGGAAACGAGAGAATCTTCTGTCGTCTTCTACCTGAAATGTGTACAGTCAATACGAAGTATTTAAATTCGTATTTTGTGTGATTCGTATAGTAGAATTACCTGAGGGAAAAATGCAACGTTATCGTTCTGCAAAATTACGGAGTTCCAATTCAACGTCTCGTCTTGTAGATTTTTCGTGGCTGGTTCGACGTTCAATTCATTCTGATTGGGAAAAATGATTTCGTTGGCTGTTCTTAGTTTGTCGTGCTTTGGAAATTCTCGTTTCTTGAAGTATTCTTGGTATTTTACAATTGGAAACTGAACGTTGCTTCGAACAGGTTCGTTTTGAGAGTACTCTCTGAAGTTTCCAGAGGTTATTCGTCCCCTTACGGCGATCTTCGAGTGACCACCAACTGCGTGAAGAAAAATTAACACAGTCTATCGAACGTCTTACTTTCTCCAAATTATTCAAACCTCGCTTCTCTCACCTCGTTGATTAGGAACTCCGTTGTACTTCCTGTAATGTCCTTTCTGGTACTTGTTGAAGAGCCTGAAGAATCCTCCGTTGTAATTATTCAGATAGTAAATCAAACCGTTCATGTCTTTGGGGCATCTCGGGAAAGCTTCGTAGCAAGTCTCGGAATTTCCTCGATTGCTGTAACCGAGGATCATAGCTCTGCCGAAATTCAGCAGAGGGGAAGCTCCAATCACGTCGATCTTGGTCAGCCAGCTGAAAACGCGAGGAGGGATCAATCGGGGCACTCGATGCTCGTCGAGGAGGAAAAATCGGACGGAGAGAGCCGAGGATTCGAACGATTTCGCTGTGCGGAACGTACTCCGTGAACACGTTTCGACCGAGGAAGTCGAAGAAGCCGGAACCATGTTTGCTTAACGATCTCCCTGGAAGTTTACCGCTGGCCATCTCGCAGAGTATCCTGGGCACACACTTGTAGTCGTCGTGACGGGATATCGTGGACACCGCGTCGAAGAGATTCAGTTGAAATCCAGGGGAAAGACCGACCGTTCCAGCGGGGTAATTCGATTGCTGGTAGCCGGAAGTCGTGTCCGCCGGAAGGCCACCGCTCGGATGCGACTGCAAGCAGAAAAGTTCCGGGGTTCGACGCGTGGGCGGAGAAAATGTGAATTTTTAGAGAGCGGACTATCGATTTTCTCTTCGGTGTGCTAAATTTGTTAGAATTTGTTACATTTCAGTGAATTTTTGTTTTAAAGTGGGCCATTGGTTTCGTTTTTTGTGCGTTAAATTTTTTAGAATTTTAGTAAATTTGTAGAGAGCGGACTATCAATTTCTTCTTCAATGTACTTTTGTTAGAATTTTTTTAATTTGATTAAATTTTTAGAGAATGGAGTGTCAATTTCGTCCCTAATGTGTTAAAATTAGATTAAATTTTGTAGAGAATGGAGTGTCGATTTCTTCTCTAGTGTGTTAAATTTGTTAGAATTTATTAAATTTGATTAAATTTTTAGAGAGTAGGCTACTGATTTCGTCTCTAGTGTGTTCAATTTTTTAGAATTTTTAAATACGATTAAATTTCGTAGAGAATGTTATGTCAATTTCGTCCCTAATGTGTTAAATTAGATTAAATTTTGTAGAAAATGTAGTGTCAATTTCGTCCCTAATGTGTTAAATTAGATTAAATTTTTAGAGAATGGAGTATCAATTTCTTCTCTAGTGTGTTAAATTTGTTAGAATTTATTAAATTTGATTAAATTTTTAGAGAGTAACCACTGATTTCGTCTCTAGTATATTAAATTTTTTAGAATTCTTTAATTTCATTAAATTTCGTAAAGAACGGAGTGTCAATTTCGTCCCTAATGTGTTAAATTAGATTAAATTTTGTAGAGAATGTAGTGTCAATTTCGTCCCTAATGTGTTAAATTAGATTAAATTTTGTAGAGAATGTAGTGTCAATTTCGTCCCTAATGTGTTAAATTAGATTAAATTTTGTAAAGAATGGAATGTCAATTTCTTCTCTAGTGTGTTAAATTTGTTAGAATTTATTAAATTTGATTAAATTTTTAGAGAGTAACCACTGATTTCGTCTCTAGTATATTAAATTTTTTAGAATTCTTCAATTTCATTAAATTTTGTAGAGAATGTAGTGTCAATTTCGTCCCCAATGTGTTAAATTAGATTAAATTTCGTAGAGAATGTAGTATCAATTTCGTCCCTAATGTGTTAAATTTGATTAAATTTTGTAGAGAATGGAGTGTCGATTTCTTCTCTAGTGTGTTAAATTTGATTAAATTTTTTTTAGGGTAGACTATTGATTTTGTCTCTAGAGTGTTCAATTTGTTAAAATTTTTTAATTTCGTTAAATTTCGTAGAGAACGGAGTGTCAATTTCTTCTCTAGTGTGTTAAATTTGTTGGAAGGAGTAGGAGATGATAGTGTTTTCTTCCATTATAATTTAATATTCCGTAGAAAAATATGTTAATCAGAGGTTCCAAAGAGCACCTAATTAGAAGGAAAATTAATATTTTCTATCGATTTCTTCTCTACTGTATTAAAGTTAGAATTTCTTAAATTCCGTAAAATTTTCTCGAGAAAAAGCTATCAATTCCTTCAGTAACGTGTTAAATTTATCGAAAGTAACATGTGACGATAGTGTTTTCTCTCCTTCTAATTTAATATTGCATAGGAAAATACGTTAACGGGCGGTCTCAAAGAATAACTGGAAGGAAAATTAATTCGGCAATATTTCATGCAGTTTCGTAAGAGGCCGTAATTGGTAATACGTTAGACTCTTTACGAGGAGTAATTGGAGGAGTTTCTTATACAGGAACACACTCGGTATTAAATTTCACCAGGTAATTTATTGTTAATTTAATGCATTTTACGAGATTCCCCCGTGACTGTATATTACTTGTCGTTTAATTTTATAACGAAATTATTGCACGCTATACGTGATAAAGAACACCAATAACCTTTTTTACATTATATTTCACTTATTCTACGTTTCCAACTTTTATTTCATTCCTCGATCAACGCTCTAAATCAATTTTCGAACGTACCGTTGCTGGATCGTTATTGAAAAAACTCGATAAAACGTCCATGAAAGAGATTTGCCTTCCCTTGAACCCGTTCCACTGACCCTTTCCGCTCGTTAGCCTTCCGCTTTCTCGATCCACAAGATCGACAGCCAATTCGTCGATACACCTACGCCAAACACACGTTTCCCACAATTCTTCTCTTCCAAAACATCGACAATACAATCTACAATACTCACTCTATCAGATCGGTCGCGTTATAATTCTTCCTAGCCTCGTCGAAGTCACAGTAACGAGCTCCGTCGATTTTACGAGAAATCCTCGGAGCCTGATCCTCGGCACGCGCGTAAAAACGCAGAAGAAGGCAAATAAGGATAAACGTGAACGTCGTCGCGCTACTCTCCATTCTGTTCCTCAAATTGGAAGTCAATTTTTCTTCTATTCGACAGAATGTTTGAAAAATTCGCCGTAAATTTCTCGGATTTACGCTACCTCGATATTAGATTCGACAACTTTTGCGCCTATTAGGCCGTGAATCGGCTCGCGAAAGGTTCGAGTAACAAATAATGGTAATTCCTTCGAGAATAATATCACTGTGTCGGAACTCCCGGTTGAAATACACGAGTGTTTCGCTTCGCGGATGATCGTGTCACAGTTCCAAGGCAACTGGAACTTTCTTCGAAAGCGTTCTTCGTACACAAGCTCGAGCGAAGAGGCGTAGGTAGGAAGAAACGTCATCGCGGTCTACTCTCACTTCGCGTGACCGTTTTTCGCGCGCTCGCAGAGAGGATGCCCACTTTGGACGCTTCGCTCCAGTCGATAAAACAAGATCCAACGTCTTTCTACGATGATTTATTGATCGATTAACAGGGAATTGATTGTTGCCTTGGCAAGAATTTCAGGGGCATTTTCGATTCACCGTTAACGTTACTGTTGTTCGCTAATGAAACCCAATATTTCAATTATTTCTCGGTGCGTGTGTACAAATTCCGAGAATTCTCGTGAAATTACTCGATTAACACTAGGTTTACGGACATTTCTTACACGCCTATCTCTACTTTGTCAAATTGACGCGTGAATGAAACCGCATATTTTCTTTAACCCTTGCGTCAGTAACCAGAATTGTCGTCTACTTTATCGTCCGATTTTAGTAGCTTTCTGATAAGAAAATGCTAAACTTGAGGCAAACACGGATAGGAAATGATCTGGCCGGATATTTCAATCTTTTACCTCGAAGATCAAATATTTTAAGTGAGAATTATGCAAAAGGGTACCCGGTTATTCACATAAGGGTTAAAAAGCAACTTATTATTTATATAAAGTTTATACGATTTCTGCTGGATATTAGTCAACACTCGTTATTATTATTTGTATTACGGCGCCTCTCCACGTGTTTCTGTATTCAGTTGTCTATCGTACGCGTCCGTTGCGCCTTGCCGGTTTGTCGACGTAGTCGTTTGTCCGCCTTCGAGCAAAGTTCGACGTGGTCCGGCAATTACGTTGTAAGAACTATTGTATTTGCCAAGTAATGACAAAACGCCTATAAAAACCAACAGTTTCTCTAATCATCCCAGTGAAATTCTAAACGCGTCAAAATGGCGCGTCCCAGTGTCAACGCCGACAGTTCCATCGTGCGCCTTTCATAAATAATTACCCAGCGGGTAGAATCCTTTATGTACAACACCGTCGACAGGGTAAAAAACGGTTACAAAGATGGTAAATTAAAAGAGCAATCAATATTATCTACATAAATCTCCGAGCCTCGCTGCTCGTACAATTCCCGTGCCGTTTCTGTCCAACATCCACCGAACGTTAAACTACGATCAATCAGCGAATCCCGCTGAAGCAACGATCCTCAGGTAACAAAACGTCGATTACATCAGTCCTAAGAATTAATTACACGTCTAAAATGATCAGTTCCCTCTGTCCGTTCTCGTCCTCGTCGCGCTTTCTGCAGCCGATCGTTCTGTCCCCTCCGTCGGCGAAGGATTAACGATCCATAAGGAAACCGGGAACACGTCGGGATATTTACAATCTGTACAGCGCCTCTCCTCGTCTCTCTCGCACGTAAATGGTACGGTTTACAGTTAATCCGCGAGCGTTGCCTCGTCGCAGCCTCTTCCTCGTTTCGCCAGCTGATGACAGAGTCGCGGGCTTCCTACGATGTCGCCCAGGAACACGCTCAATAAATAATTCTCCTTCATCGGGTTCGGCGATGATTTGTACTCGCTGTAAAACGACGAATCACAGAGGTTACCGTCTAACGAACTCGATTGTAAAATCGTTTCGAGTGATGCTAGAGAGGAGATGAAGTATAAATTGCGGCGATGGTATGTTGTAAAGTAACTGGATCGTATCTTCTTTTTTTCCCTCTTCTCCTACCGAGGTAAGAAGAATAGCCTTGGATCATCTTATGGTACTTACGGGGACATTAAAGGGGGAATTTATGGATGTGCTGAGTACAGGTGAAGCGTGCACGTTCTTTATTTCGTATGGAAAATTCTGGAATTTATGGGGGAATTATTTTATAGGTCCTTGCTTGCTACAAATTACCGATACTCGGAGATATTTGTGCCGGTGGAATAGTTGTTTGGGGCTCTGTGTGAGTTTCTTTGCAGAGGTTTTGCTTCTGTGTCGGTGGAATTCTTTTGTAGGTTGCTTTATATAGAATAAAGTGTAAAACGGACAAGGTCTAACTGCAATTTAATTGTCTTACTCTTCGTCCTTCGTAAGAATTTCCATTTGAGATAAAATCTGTGATAATTTATAATGTAAAATGAAAAATGAACGATGACTTCTGACTACAATTTAATTGTTTCTATCCCTTATTCTTCACAAAAGTTTCGATTTATTATGAAGCTTTAATAATTTATTATAAAATGTAAAATAAGTCTATTGTCTTTATCTCTCATCTTTCACAGAAGGTTCTATTTACTGTAAAACTTCTAATAACTAATACTGTAAAATGTAAAATGAACGACAAGTTCCAACTACAATTCTATTGTCTTAATCTTCATCTTTCAGAAAAATTTCCATTTGATATAGAACCTCTAATAACTTATAGTATAAAATATAAAATATACAAGATTCAATTGCAATTTAATTGTCTTTACCCTCATCCCCCATAAAAATTGCCATGTATCATAAACTCCTAAGAATTTACAATAAAATGTAAAATGGACGACAAGTTCCTACCACAATTTCATCGTCCTACTCTTGATTCTTCGAAAATTTTTCCATTTAACATAAAACTTTTAAAAACTAGTAACATAAAATGTAAAATGAAGAATAAATTCCAACAATAATTCTATTATCTTACCCTTGACTCTTCCAAAAATTTTAAATTTAATATAAAGTGTAAAATAATCGACAAGTTCCAACTACACTTCTATTTTTCCATTTAACATAAAACTTTTAAAAACTAGTAACATAAAATGTAAAATGAAGAAAAAATTCCAACAATAATTCTATTATCTTACCCTTGACCCTACCAAAAATTTTAAATTTAATATAAAGTGTAAAATAATCGACAAGTTCCAACTACACTTCTATTGTCTTACTCTCCATCCTCCACAAAATCTTCCATTTAATATAAAATCTCTAAAAACTAATCACACGAACTGTAAAATGAACAACAAATTCCAACTACAATTCTATTATCTGACACTTGACCCTTCCAAAAATTGTCCACTCAATACAAAACCTCCAATAATTCATAACATAAAACATAAAACGATCGACAAGTTCCAACTTCAATTTCACCATCTTCACCCCTGATCCTTCTCAAAATCCACTCACTCCTACACAAAACGAACCTCGAAACACCTGCCATTACACTGTCCACCACGAAAACCCTTAGACTTCCATTCTTCAGCCCCACTAGCTCCTGCAAGGGACTCTCCGTCCCTCATGCACGCTCCGTTAAACCTCTCGCAACCTTCTCTCTACCATCTCCAACCTCCGATACATCCTCTCCTCTCCCCCTTAACCTCCACGCCAGTCTTTCCATCTTGTCCCTACAGGTGACAGAAGCGATTAACCGACGCGTTTCGTCGCGACGACACGCGCTGGCCATCTCGGCACGGAGAAATCGCAGATAAGCCCGTTCGAATTCGGAGGCAGATAGCTCGAGACGCTCGTAAAACGACGGAGAAGCGAACGTAGGACGCGATAGGAGGGCGGAGGATGGAGCAGAGAGTTATCAGGATGCATTAGGTCGCTCGTGGAAGCCGCCATTAAGGGCTATCTGCCACTGGCGTAACTTACAACTGAATGTAGTGCGAGCTCGTGGCTAGCTGGCTCGAAGCAAGAACCGGTAGCACGGATTTCTATTAGCTGTTACTAGTTGGAAGAAAGTGCCTGACGATTTGGAATAGACCGGCTATCTTCGGAGAATATATCTGACCGATCATTCTGGACGAATTATCGGGGAATTTGTGGAATTTATGCGGGAATGCTTCTGAAATGGGAGTCTGGTCGGATTGTTTTTTGGTTTTACACTTCGACTTTTACGAGATGGCTGTAGGTTCCTGTAACGCGGAAGTTACGACGCGTCGAGGAGAGTGGAAGGGTTGTTTTGCATGAATCTTGAGTGGGGAAATGGAGATCGAGGAGGAAATGCGGAATTGAATTGTTAATCGAGGCTCTTGGGGGGGAACTGCGTTGAATTGTTTTCTCTGTTCCAATATTTCGTCAATATTGTAGTTGGTTTTATCAGGGTTTATTATCAGTGTGTTTTTTGAAAGGTTCCACTTTGAAAGGTTCCATTTTGAAAGCTTCCATTTTGAAAGTTTCCATTTTGAAAGGTTCCACTTTGAAAGCTTCCATTTTGAAAATTTCCACTTTGAAAGCTTCCATTTTGAAAGTTTCCATTTTGAAAGGTTCCACTTTGAGAGCTTCCATTTTGAAAGTTTCCACTTTGAAAGCTTCTATTTTGAAAGTTTCCACTTTGAAAGTTTCCACTTTGAAAGCTTCCATTTTGAAAGTTTCCATTTTGAAAGATTCCACTTTGAAAGCTTCCATTATGAAAGTTTCCACTTTGAAAGCTTCCATTTTGAAAGTTTCCACTTTGAAAGCTTTCATTTAATAATTCGAAGAATCTAGGCTCTGAAAGCATTAAATTTCTCAAATTCAGAATCAGACTTAAGCTCTGTCCAATTATTTCTCTTGTTCCAACTTTTCGTCCACATTGCAGGTAATTTTTTCAGGATTCATTTTCAGTTTGTCTTCTGAAAGCCTCAATTTAATAATTCGAAGAATCTAGACTGTGAAAGAATCTTTGCTCGAGACACCGTCGAAGTGCTCCTTTCATAAGTAGAAAAGAGTTTAACGAAGCAATTTCTGCAAACGAAAGCAGACGAAATTTGTACACATTTCGTACCTCTAATCCCTTCTCTTCAGCATTTTCCGTAAATGCAAAACACATACATAGCATAGACGAGGAGCGCGTAAAGCGTCTAACCGCAACCATTCGTGCTTCTACTTTGAATCAATTCCAAAGTTTTCAATGCTTGAACGACTACGTGACCTGTAACATAACAGGCGGTCTTCTTTCATAATTCTCACACGATCCAGGAATCTCAACGACGTCCCAGAAATCGCGGCAATTTCTAAAATTTCTCAACGTACAATCCACGTTCTTTAGAAATCCTCCGAATCACGTAGAGTCTAACTCTCGATCGCCCAAAGAAATCGTTACATTCGTAACAAAAAGAAACTCTATCTAAATCACAGAAAATCTACTTTCAATCGCCCAGAGAAGCATCGCGAAAATATCATTTCAAATCCTTCACGATTTCAATTATTACCCGAGTCACGCAAAATCTACTTTCAATCGCCCAGAGAAACAACGCGAAAATATCACCTCAAATCCTTCACGACTCGAATTATTCGAATTATTAATCCCCGCTTTCAAACCACGTCCGATAATTTTTCTATTCCAAAGTTTCACCAGAGTTCGAAAGACACCTCGGTTAACAATTCGAGCGTAAAAACAGCGCAAAAGGACGGTAATCCACGTCACGGTTGACACAATCGACACACGGCAAATTATCCTGGAAAAAAAGGGGGGCAAGAAGAAAAGTAAGTTACAGAAAGGACATGATTCATTAGTTCATGCGTGGTCGAGCAAATGGGCCAGTAGTTTTCCACGATGCATTCACAAAACCCGTTATTAAGCTTCCTACGTGTACACACGGCGTTTCACAAATCCGAGTAAGAGAAACGAAAGTGGAAAACCAGTCCTCGGCGTTCAGTTGCTTGCGGATAGCCCAGGATCGTGAAATTCAGGGTCGTCGTTACGCAAGTTTCTCTAAAGATTCACTAGCAACGGTGTCGAGTACGATCTATCGAAACCGCGTTACAGATCCTCCTGTTTCATCGATGCTGCCTTATAGTCGATCGATCAAGGCTACTCTGGGCGATCGATCGATCGCTGCTTGCAAAAAGATCGGGTGAACTTGGCTGGACGAGACGGTGGAAGGTGAAAATGCGACGATCGACGGTTACGACGAACATGGTAATTCTTTCGAGTAACAAATACGATGTAAATGAACCCAGATCAGAATTGGTAATGGGCGGAAGATGACGTTGTAAGTGGATGCAACGAGTTCAAGTGGATCGAGCCTCCAGGAACAGGGTTTACGTAAAGATGAAACGATGTGGTTGTTGGATAAGCGAGAAGGGAAGCGTTGAAATTGAGTCGTGTGATTTTGTATTCATGTGTTTCCTTATAATTCCGTGTTTCCAACGATGAATAAATTCTGTGGGATACCGTGCGTTAACGCGACTTAGGTCCTTGCGGTAAGAAGGGTGCAGCTTCGTTTTTGACAGTTTCTTGGTTACAGCGCGTAATTGTATGTAAAAAAGAAATTGCACGTTGTTTGGTGTACGTTTGATGCAAATTCGACGACAAACGAGCGATTTATTGGAAATTATTGTAAATTTTCGATCTTCCCCTATTACTGCTTTTTTTCTCTCCTTCTTTTTCGTCGCATCAACTACGAGGATACTGAACGTTGATACGTTGAACAGACTGTTGTTTCGCTATAATTTGTCGGTTAGTTTTGTTTCTTTGACGAAGTCAGGTAAGTCAAGTATTCTGTCGTGGTTCAGATTTTCCTTAAGAGAGGGTTCCAGTTCGCATTTGCTGCGGAAGAAGCTACTTTGGGCAGGCCAGTATTAGATGATCTGTTGTGACCGGTGAGGTTGTGACGTAGCAGGTTCCTTCGTTAGAAGATATCACCAATTATTGTTTAGTGAGATACATCTTTTTACAAGGTTCTCAAACGTGCATTCACTGGGAATGAGGATATTTGAAAAATTCGCCAAAAATAGGAAGAAAAGCTTATCAACTCAGTAAACACTGCTTAGGGTAATTTCGGGAGAGACGGACCAGGCAAGTATTTCCTACATCATCCGCCAGATATGGAAGAAAAAACGATCGCTTTCCGTGAAACAAATGTAAAACAAAAGAATACCGACGCGTTCCACATATGGCGGATAATGTATAAATACTTGCCTGGTCCGTCTCTCCCGCCGGTCCATCTCTCCCGGAATTATCCTATCGTGTGAAAATGTATATCTTTCAATTAGTGTTCTCTCTTTAATGTCAAGTCGAAACAATAATTTTATAAACACTTTTTTCTAATTTACTCGAAGTTGGTAAAAATCTAGCTGCACCCCTTAAGCTGCAAGGTTCTCAATTGTGGAAGGGATGGAGTGTCGAATGTGGGCAGGAGGGAAAAATGTTGTTGAGATAGAGAGCTGATATGTTGAAAAATTGATTTTCTTTCATAAAATATTGTTTGTAGCTACTTGTCTTTTATGTTCCAAGAATTTGGTTTTATTTTTAAGTATTGAAGCTTCTTTCCTTGTTCTTTTAGGCTTCTTTTCATCCATGGCTGATATTCGAATTATTTTGGAATTGAAGGGGTTTTTTAGGCTTCCTTTTGTCTACGGCTGATACTCGAATTATTTTGGATTTGTAGTTTTTGTGAAGGGAAAAATAAAGGGGCAGAGAGGGGATTATTCAGAGAGTAGAATAGTGTGACAAGATACACAAGAAACGCAAGCCTTGGAGGCAAGCTTGAGAAGTAGAGCGGTGCATGTAATTTGTTAGGATAATTGTATGCCTTGCTTCTAACGAGACTATGTTGCAACGGCTACAGAAAATCAACTTTTACACTGCTAACCAGTTTAATAAATAATTCTACCTATTCTGAAACCAGCGATTAACGGAATATGTGTCGCTCAATAATTTTTATACTAATAAAACACACTGTGTCATAATGCACAAGAAGTAAATGTTTTTTCTACTAAATCAAGACATTTATTCTATTGGGCGTGCAAATTAATTCAACGCCTTTTTTCACAAACTTAAATGTTGATTTACGGAAAATCGAGGGCAATTTTAATGTTCAAAATGAACTTCATTATTGAAAATCACTTTTCTCCATTTATTAAGCAACTGACGAATTCTGTCTTTGAAAAAGTATGGCGATTTTGAGTCGATAAAGTGTTCAAGGCTTTTTGAAAAAAAGGCACCCAATTAATTTCTACAACTGATACATCTATTTGATGTAAAATGCACTAAGAAACTTAACTTTAACCATTTGCGAACGTTTGTACAATACATAATTAGGTCATTACTTCAGTTTTTCTTTCAAACTAAATTCTATCAAAATTTCGTTCTCGTCAAATATAAGTACATAAGTTCATGATCACTTCAACTATTTTTGTTGCTTAAAATTTATCGACTGCGTTCATAGTGTGTTGTGAACGCATGGACGAGTCTACCGTCCTCAAAGGGTTAAATTCAGTTTCTCCAAAACTGTACATATTGACTCGGTGTATTTTACCGGTAAACCCGTGAAATATCGCTTGTTAGAAGTTACGGGGACAAAAAGACTGGCAAGATATACCTGAAAATAACACCCCAGTCTAAAGCTCGTTCTCGACTTCGTTTTTGCAGAGTTTCCGTCGCGTACTTGGCGCAGATTCTCTCGTAAACGCAAACGTTACCTCCCAACTCCGACACCAACTTCTTTTCCACTTGACCAACGTCTAGGATTTCTTCGTTGTACACCAAAGGCAGGTCTCGTCTTACTCGGTTGACGTAAGTGTCTGAAAACGAGAGGCGAACGACGATAAATGTCGAAATTGTTTCGCAATTAACGGGGAGAGAATTTGTGGAACAGAATCCTTGAGGATTTCGATACGGTCCATGAACGGTATTCTTGAAAACTCTTCTAGAAATCGTGGATTTTATATGACTATTATTATATTTATTTGTTCGTTTAATAATTGAATCTCTAAGGTTCTCGTGAATATTAAAATCACGAGTGATCACTGTCAGTAGTGTTAATGCACTATACAGATTCCAATTCGAACATTTATTCGCCTAGACAGGTTACTGTCATCACTCCGAGTGACGATCCTCCGAGTTTCAATCATTCAAAACCGCCAAATGACCGTCCCTAAATAATGACCAATCAGCTACGTGACTTCTTCAACGTTCACTTTAACGAAAATTGACGTGTCCGATACTATTCCATCCGCGTCGCGTGTTTGCCTGTCACACTAATTGCTCGTCAAATTTCAGACACCTTAATTCCCCGTTTCAGGAAATTTCCAACGATGGAACAAACTTTTCCATAAATTTCCTGGTCTGAAGGTCTATTTTCAAAATACACAGTTTTATTAAACAAAAAGGAAAAGAGAAAGAAATTTTCAACGATAAAACAAACTTTTGCAAAAATTTCCTGATCACAAGATCCATTTTTAAAATACACAAATTTATTTAAAAAAGAAAGAAAGAAATTTTCAACGATAAAACACTTTTCCATAAATTTCCTTATCTCAAGATCCACTTTCAAAGTACACAATTTTATTAAAAAAGAAAGAAAGTAATTTTCAATGCTAAAACACACTTTTCCACAAATTTCCTTATCTCAAGATCCATTTTCAAAGTACACAGTTTTATTAAAAAAGAAAGAAAGTAATTTTCAATGCTAAAACACACTTTTCCATAAATTTCCTGATCTCAATATCCATTTTCAAAGTACACAATTTTATTAAAAAAGAAAGAAAGTAATTTTCAATGCTAAAACACACTTTTCCATAAATTTCCTGATCTCAAGATCCATTTTCAAAGTACACAATTTTATTAAAAAAGAAAGATAGTAATTTTCAATGCTAAAACGCACTTTTCCATAAATTTCCTTATCTCAAGATCCAAGGAAGAAAGAAAGAAATTTTCAACGATAAAATACACTTTTCCATAAATTTCCTGATCTCAAGATCCACTTCCAAAGTAAAAAATTTTATTAAAAAAGAAAGAAAGTAATTTTCAATGCCAAGACACACTTTTCCATAAATATCCTGATCTCAAGATTCAAGGAAGAAAGAAAGAAAGAAAGTAATTTTGAACGATAAAACACACTTTTCCATAAATTTCCTGAACTCAAGATCCACTTTCAAAGTACACAATTTTATTAAAAAAGAAAGAAAGTAATTTTCAATGCCAAGACACACTTTTCCATAAATTTCCTTATCTCAAGATCCAAGAAAGAGAGAAAGAAAGAAATTCTGAACGATAAAACACACTTTTCCATAAATTTCCTGATCTCAAGATCCACTTTCAAAATACGCAAATTTATTAAAAGAGAAAGAAAGTAATTTTCAATGCTAAAACACACATTTCCAAAAACTTCCTAATCTCAAGATCCACTTTCAAAATACGCAAATTTATTAAAAAAAAAGAGAAGAAAAATAAAATTTAAGTAATACACTATCAAGTCCAAAAGGTAAAGAAATTCCCAATAAATTAATTTTTCCCTTTTCAATGAATGAAACAAATGTCCCGATTATTAAAAATAACTCGCGTTCGATGTGAACGATCGCCACGAGGAAACAACGGCGAGTTACGCGGACGTTATACGAGATTCCGCCAGAGAAGTCGCAACAAGTGGAACACTTTCGCTTTCGCTGCTCGTCGATTCGATTCACGCGCGAAACCACGGGCTAGCCGGATTACCTACGCGGCGAAGTTCATCCTCTTTTTGCTCTCGTGATCGGCGAAGCATCGCAGCGAACAAATGCAACCGATTCGAATGGAAGAACATTGAACTTGTTCGCGTTCGCAATTCCTTTTTCCGCGAACAGGCTTCGAAAATAGCGAGGGAAAATTAGCGGTGAATTCTTTAAAGCTCTGTGTTCAACTGTTAGCGTCTAATTGGCTGAAATAGTTCGCGTTCGTTGAATTTACAATGTTTTGTTTCAGTTCCTTCTAATTATCAATATGCGTAGGGAATCGGTATTAAAAGAGAGAGCAATTAGCGGTGCTCGTTGGATTTTTGTGGAATGGAAATTCTAGGGTAATATAGATAATGAAAGTGATAGCATTTTCTGTGGTTTCGCGTGAATAATTGGAAATAATTCGAATTGTTTTTAATAGGTTATTATAGAATTTAAAGGAGGTAAAAATTTGACGTTCTCTTGAAAAATTTTGGTTATTTACTTTTTGTTATTGTAGGAAGGAAGTTTCTGATATGATATTTACCTGGATTCAACGAATACGCGAGCTTCTTCACAAAATTGGTAATCCTCACAGCTGCAATGATCACTGGAAATCCAAGCAATTGTACCGGAATCTCAAATGCGGGTTCCTCTGGACTCGGTGCCGAGTCCACCATTGCAATCACCAAGAAATAACATCCCAGGAAGAAAATTGCGTGCGACAATCGCATAGTGGAATGCTATCTAAGAAATTAATTAAATTATTCCCATTTAAACAGTTTGTGAATTTTAAAACACACTTTATCCCTTAAAGAAAGAGCAATAAATTTATCTCTCTACCATTCACAAACTTAACCATACTAAACTATGAATCTTTATAGCAATTCTATACTGTTCGACAGACACAGAAATCATTCAAAACCATAATTAACCCTACGAAAGTTAAATTCTCCTTTCAAACAGCTTCAAACCAATTCAACACTCTTTAACAATCATAAGAAACATCAGAAATCACAAACAACCTTGAAATATTTCACCAATTCTCCATTCAAACAGCCTCAAACAACTCCACACTCTTCACCAATCAGAGAAAATATCCAAAACCGCAATCAATCTCAAAACAATCAAATACTGCATTCAAACAACTTCAAACCAATTCAAAACTCTTTAACAACCACAAGAAACACCAAAAATCCCAATCAACCTCGAAACAACTCATCAATTCTCCGTTCAAACAGCTTCAAACCAATCCAACACACTTCAACCACAAGAAACAACAAAAACCCCAATCAACCTAGAAACAGTTCACCAATTCTCCATTCAAACAGCTTCAAACAACTCCAAACTCTTCAGCGACCACAAGAAACACTTGAAACCCTAATCAATCCCAACACAGTAGAAGAACACCCTCAAATCACGAATCCACTCCATCTGAATCCATTGTTCACGCAGTTATCCACAAGTACCATGGAACTATCACCGAAATAGGTCGATCGTGTGCTCGCGAACCTGTTCTTCCGTGACGATCGTATGGAACACCGTTCGGAAACGTGAGGACGGAGTGTGGCTGCTTCTTTGGTAAAAACTCGTGGTCGAGTGTTCGTTTAGGCGACCGTAGGCCTGCTGCCGCTGGTTCGCGCCGACCGTCGAGAGAAAGTGATCGCCCCTTCCTTGGCGTCGTGATCAAATGAACGCCGACCGACCGATTGCGACATTTAGTGCGCCACCAGGACTCGTACGTGACGTCCTTCTGGTCTTCTTCCTGACACCGTCCCGTCGGTGTCCTCTGCAAGGCCGTCGCGACGCTTTCGTGGCCCCGCGATGCTTGAACTCGAACGGTCCGTGCCGCTGTCCGCGTGGAAAGTTCAATTGGAATGTTCGACAACGATGGAAATCGAAAGTTTCGCGGCGGTGGGGTTACGCTGGGCAAGTAAAAGGTTTTCGAGGGAGGTCGAGGGCCTGTCGAGTGGAAACGTGGAACTTCCAAGTGGAGGAAGATCGTTGGAATGCGACTTTGAAATTTTCTTTACGTGGAAAATTTTTGGGGTCACTTTTGGAATTGTGAGTATAATATATCAGGAAAATTCCTGAACACAGATTACATTTTTCTTTTTCATTCTAAACTACCTTAGGGAGGTACCGTATTTTTCCTTTCACTGTAACAACTTAATTTTGTTAACGTGGACAATTTTTGGGGTCACTTTTGGAATTGTGAGTATAATATATCAGGAAAATTCCTGAACTCAGATTACATTTTTCTTTTTCATTCTAAACTAGCTTAGGGAGGTACCGTATTTTCCCTTTCACTGTAACAACTTAATTTTGTTAACGTGGACAATTTTTGGGGTCACTTTTGGAATTGTGAGTATAATATATCAGGAAAATTCCTGAACTCAGATTACATTTTTCTTTTCAATTTTAAACTACCTTATGGAGGGTGTCATATTTTTCCTTTCACTGTAATAAATTGTTAAACTCAAATTTGTTACATACAGCACTAAATGCTTTTTCCAAGGATGAAGGAATTAGGTATTTGGTGCGAGGATGTAGAATTATGTTCAGAGTCAAGGTCGGACTTTTTTGGCTCGGTGAATCCAGCGATTGAGAGCAATGATTAATAGTACTCCCTAGGCGGTGTTTTTCTTTTCGTTTTTTGAAGTGATATCTCGCAACAGTACATGGAAATGGTGCCAGCAGCCACTTAAGTACGATCACGCAGCAGCTACTCCGTAAGAATATAATCGATTTCTTGCGTGACGCGGGGAATGAAACCGATTACATGCGTGAACCTACTGAGATCGTTGCTCAATGAACGCGATTTTCCAACACGCCCTCGTTCACGTCGATCAGAATGTGTGTCGTCGATGTACTTTTACCTCTCTGCATAGGTGAACGATCTTTCCTGATCAATTTCCTACACCGAAATTCCTTTCCTTATAAAGTGATAAGTTTATTCATCGATACCTCTCACTTTCGCTATTTAACATGGAAGTTTTGCTTTTACAATTTCGCCAATTATTCTCCCATTATCGTTCATTATTTAGCCTCCACGCGTTATAATTATCTTATTGTATCATAGTTGCTTCGTCATTTTCAATAAAATTGTTTGCAAAATAATTTTATCAATATTTCTCACTTTTCGTTACTTAAAATTGGAATTTGTACTATTATAGCTCTCAATTATTCCCTCATTATTGCTTATTATTTAGGTTACACATGTTATAATTATCTTATCATAGTTGCTTCGTCATTTTCAATAAAATTGTTTGCAAAATAATTTAATTTATATTTTTCACTTTACGTTATTTAACTTGGAATTTTTGCTGTTGCAATGTCACTAATTAGTTTACCATTATTGATTGTTATTTAGGTTCCACGTGTTACAGCTATCTTATCAGAATTACCCTGTCATTTTCAGAAATTTCTTCTCAAAATAATTTTATCAATATTTCTCACTTTTCGTTACTTAAAATTGGAATTTTTGCTATTATAGCTCTTAATTATTCTCTCATTATTGCTCATTATTTAGGTTCCACGTGTTACAGCTATCTTATCAGAATTATCCTGTCATTTTCAAAAATTCCTTTTCAAAATAATTTCATTCATATTTTTCACTTTTCGTTACTTAAAGTTGGAATTTGTGCTATCGTGGTTCTCAATTATTCTCTCATTATTGCTCATTACTCATATTCCACGCGTTATCGTCATCTTATCACAATTACCCCGTCATTTTCCACAAATTTCCTTTCGAAGTAATTTCAATTTCATTCCCGTAAAATCCAATAATTAACTACCCAACGAAGTTTCGCCATATCAGCTATATTCCAGTGTCTCGTTTCGCGTCGTGCTCTTTTTGCGCGATCGTCGATCGTTTGCGTGGCGTCTAGTAGCGTCGCGACGCGCCGCTTCGAACGAAACAGCGGGGTTTCCCCGTTTTTCCGTGCAGGATCACGACGGAATTGCGTTCCGCAGAGTTGGCGCGATAAACGAAACGCTCGCGATCATTTTTCCGAGGATATCGCGGATCCTAACTGCTCGGCGCAGACTCTTGGCACGATCTCGCCTCGCGATCGTTACGCGGCACGCTCGCTTGGCATCGCGCTTAAGCCGATAAAGGCGCCGGAGATGATTGCAATAACTTTTCGACGCGGCCGACGCCGCTGTAAATTGTCCCGATTGTTTTCGCTCGAAATCGTTGTGTATCCTTGTTTCCTTTTTTTAAGAAACGGAAGACGCTCTTAGGAGGATGGTGATACGGGGAAGGGGGAAACAATTTCGTGATGTGAAGTTGGCAAGGTTTTTCGGGAGAATTTAGAAATGGAAAATTAACTGGTAACGTTATTTTTATTTACTCTTTTGCGAAATAAATGTGGGGTTAACTGTGGGCTGTTGCAATTTAGCCGACTATGTAAGACAGAAATGAGCCGTTCAGTGCACAAATCGATTAACTCCACTTTCAAAGCACTTGGTATAGTCATAACTTTTTATATTTATAATAATTTCTCGACTTCTCATTTTATGGAGTTAATCGATCACTGAACGGCTCAAATAATAGGAAAATAGAAAGAGAGATAAAGGTATGACGGTATGAAAAAATTTTTATATTAGTGATTTAAATGGTTTCAAATGGTGAATAGGATGGAAAAAATGTTTCTGTAAGGTCCATTTTTTTTTCTGTGTTTTTCTACGTTACTTATGTTCCTTTACATTTTTTTTTTTTAATGATATGACGTTAAAAAGACTTTAGACTCAAAAATTTTGTATTAAACGTGAAACTTCCTTTCATTTTTTCCCAATTCTTCCATAATTAGATACGAGTCAAATTCTTACTATCCTTCTACGACCAGAAATTTCATCAAATTCTCAATTAAAATCTGCACAAAATTCATACCTCTATTCGTCAAACAAAATTCGACAAAATTCCCTCCTTTAACTCCGTCAAATAAAATTCTTCATTAGCGAAGCGCAAAGAAACACACCAGCGAAACTTGAAATTTAATTATCCCTTATTCACGTCGGAGACATGCCTCGAATTGACTAAAAAATTAATTAAATCCGAACTCTAAATTCCTCAAAAAGAAAAGGAAAAAAAGAAAATCCCAGCCATCGAACTGATAACACGCGAAATATTTCTCTCGATATTCCAGCGGGCGATTCTGAAACGAAGGAAAATTAAAAGGACAAATTTGCGTGGCAGAATTTGGACCGGGTTTTTCGGTGTAGCGCGAGGAATAATTACAAGGAGCGGGCAACGGTGAAAGTGTGACGGGGATTTTATCCGTAAACAAATAAAAGAAAAATAATACGTGTCGGAATCCGTTACTCCTAATAACAGTTCTTTTGTTTGTGAAAATAATGTAAGTGTAGTGTGTGTCTGTCTATGTGCATGTGTGTGCCTGGCCGAGTTGTTAACAGAGGAGCAGCGTTGTTTGGCGGTTGCTAATGATTAGATTGGATCAGCACGTCGTCGCGTAAAGACGTTGATCGGCCGTTTGGTTTTTCCGCGCGCCCCTTTTAATTGAAAAATCGCCCATCCCTTACAATAAGTAGTTTACTTGTTGATTTCCAAAACTGTATATGTACAGTAGACGGGACCGAATGCGGACGCTTAAGTGGGGAGGTGACTTCTGCGAATTCAACTAAAGAAAAGAGAGATGTGTCTGAGTGGGATACCGATATATCGTGTCAGTTGTTCACATTTAGGAGTCGATATCGAATTAAAGTAATGCACACAAAATTTGCGTGGCAGAATTTGGACCGGGTTTTTCGGTGTAGCGCGAGGAATAATTACAAGGAGCGGGCAACGGTGAAAGTGTGACGGGGATTTTATCCGTAAACAAATAAAAGAAAAATAATACGTGTCGGAATCCGTTACTCCTAATAACAGTTCTTTTGTTTGTGAAAATAATGTAAGTGTAGTATGTGTCTGTCTATGTGCATGTGTGTGCCTGGCCGAGTTGTTAACAGAGGAGCAGTGTTGTTTGGAGGTTGCTAATGATTAGATTGGATCAGCACGTCGTCGCGTAAAGACGTTGATCGGCCGTTTGGTTTTTCCGCGCGCCCCTTTTAATTGAAAAATCGCTCATCCCTTACAGTAAGTAGTTTACTTGTTGATTTCCAAAACTGTATATGTACAGTAGACGGGACCGAATGCGGACGCTTAAGTGGGGAGGTGACTTCTGCGAATTCAACTAAAGAAAAGAGAGATGTGTCTGAGTGGGATACCGATATATCGTGTCAGTTGTTCACATTTAGGAGTCGATATCGAATTAAAGTAATGCACACATAAACGTCCGCTGTCGGCACCGAATGCGGACGCTTAAGTGGGGAGGTGACTTCTGCGAATTTAACTAAAGAAAGGAGAGTTATGCGTGCACTGCTGTACTTTGTTTCACTCGGCACGCTCGAATTCCACTCCGAAGTCCCATTTCCAAGAATTGGTGGGGATAGCGACGGACGCTTAAGTGTGCAAAAATGCGGACGCTTATGCGTGCACTGCTGTACTTTGTTTCACTCGGCACGCTCGAACTCCAGTCCGAAGTCCCATTTCCAAGAATTGGCGGGGATTGCGACGGACGCTTAAGTGTGCAAGAATGCGGACGCTTATGCGTGCACTACTGTACTTCTAAAGCTAAAGACTGACAGTGAGGAGTTTCACGAGTCACGTTAATAATAACACGTTAGATTCGGAGGTTAAGAACGTACTGCCTTCGTTTCCAACGGATCTTCTTTTATACAATTGCCCTTCCCCTTATTACAATATCGATTAATTCCAGTGCGTGTACTCTGTCCTGAATTCCTGTAATATCGATTAGTTTTCAGATGGGTGAGGTTTTGCATTCCGATGTCTGTGGTCCGTCTTGGTTGCTGTGTGTCGTGGGTATTACAAAAGCCCCATTACCGCGGGCCGCCTTTGACCACGTTTTACACGCTCGCTAAATACCAGTCCGCGCGTTGCAGAACCGGCTGTCACAAGACGAATCCTCGAGAACGTCCGGTAATTGCCGGCGAATTAGCAAAAGTTACTCTCGAGGCATCGTGAAACACGCGGCTTCGAAAGTTGAATCGAGTCGAAAAGGTAAAGGGTTACACTTCGTCGAAGGATTGGTGAATTTGAAAAAGAACACAGGATACATTGGACAATTTCAACGTGTTTATTCGAAGTTGGTTTCTTTACATCGTGGCAAATCGTACAACAAATGTACAATTCACAATCGTACGTTTTGTATAATATACTAACGAACGAAACGCCGGTGTGTTTTAATCAGCGAGGAAATAAATAATCGACAGAAGTGTGTTCGTGTTTTTGCTCGCGAACGTACGAGATCTCTGGGATAGATCGAATACTATCGAAGTCTCTTTTAAAGCGTAGTCTCTTACATCGAACGACGCTAATCCGCTTGTTCGTTGGATTCGCGCGCGACAATTGATAAAAATGATTTCTTAAGTATAGATCACTTAGCGCCTACGTAAGTCTCGACGGTCTTCGAACGATCTAAGAACGTTATCTTGGATATTTCAAACAAAATATCTCAAAAGCTGTTCTTCTCTGTCGTTCGTTTTTTTTTTTTCATTTACAATTAATCGAATCAGCCGTTGCTTAATAGTCGCAAGTAAGTACGTTTCCTCGTGCACTTCCGCCTCGAGAAAAGTGTGTGTTTTTTCTTCTTTTTTTTCACGAAGAAAAGAGATTTGCAGAATTTGTGAATTCTCGGAGGATCGCGCGAATCGTTATCGATGCAACGAGGTTGGAGGAAAGGTCGTCTGCGGTATCACAGGCATCGTCGTCGGTCGTCGACGTGGATCGTTTCGGTCGCGTCAGCGTAATCGAATCTTCTTCATCATGTTGAGAACGCTGGATCCGGGCAACGGACAGGTGGGGAAGAAATTATGGCACCCCTGACCTTCCATGCCGGATATCAGTTGACCCATATGCGCCGCGAAGTGGTACCTCGAGGGCACTTCCGCCATCGTGCTCAGGCTCGTGTCCCTGAAAAGTTTCCATGAAATATTCAACGGTTAGTCTCGCTTCTTTTGCTAAAACGACGCAAATATCGCAATGTTCGCTGCTCCAGCTATGTCAGCGAATTAATGAAATATTTATCAAAGCTCCGTGGCTCGTTTCCATTCGCGGAATCGAGAAGTTCGCGTTCGCCAGTCGTGTGACGTTCCTTGATCAATTTAACAAACTTAGATTATTGATCAGAACAATGTTTAAGTTTTAATTGAAACCGGATGAAGTTTAATGCGATTCTGTTGTAAGGACGGTGGAAACAGCTATTCTTGGATGGTTAAGAAGCTTTTATTTAAAAAAAAAAGGAGCTGTGTAATGCAATTTTTTAACTATTCGAGGATTTTTTGAAAGAAAAATTTGTCATAATCACAGTATAGATCATTATGGTAATAAAACTGCACACCGTTGTAGTGTTGAAATAAAATATTAGCGATCGAATTCGAGAATGTTTCCACTTGGGAAATCTAATTTTCAAAGAAAAACAGTTGAATAATTAATAAGTTGCATTACGTAAAGTATGAAAATTTAATGAATTGATTCCTGTCAGTCTACTATTACGCATCGTTAAAGCATATTTTCACGCTTAAGAGAGTATACAAGGTGTCTTAGTTTTTTCTGATTGAACTTTGTCTTGTTTTATGAGCTCGAAAAATAAAAAAATTTTTACATAAACATATAGAGGTCGTTTGAAGCTACGTTAAAAATGTACAAGAAAATTAGGAAAATGTGAAGAATGGGAAAGAATTTCCGGTTATTATGACGCAAAACAGGAATGGATCGGCGATATTTGCATCTACTCTCTTTATGTAAGCTGTGCTTACTATGTAAGGTCATCGAAGGTGTTTAATATTATTTTTACCATCGCCATTTGTGTCTTCTGTCACAGCACCACAAATTCTTTACCATTCTCTTCATATTTTTGTTAAAACTAGCTCGCGGATATTTATGCAAATTCATAGTTTTATGAGAATAATTAAAGAAATAGAAGCTAGATGGGCATACGTTTTATTCTCTTATTATGCGCATTCTGTGTATTTTTGTGCGTAAAAATGCGTAAAAATCCGCAGTCTAGTTTTAACGTTCTACGTTTACAAAACATTTTTCTTACTCGTACCAACAGAAAATACTGACAAAATTCAGTAGCAAAAAACTGAAACACCCTGTATCGTATTCGTTACTTAAATAGTGCACAATTTACGACGCTCGACAGCAAGCCCCAGCATTTTCTATTTGCATCTACTCTGTTTATGCAAGCTGTGCTTACTATGTAAGGTGACTGAAGGTGTTTAATATTATTTTTACCATCGCCATTTTTGTCTTCTGTCACAGCAACCACAAACTCTTTACCATTCTCTCTATATTTTTGTTACAACTAGCTTGCGGGTTTTTATGAACATAATTCAAAAAGTATTACAACGAGTACTATATTTTTGCTCACTATGCGCATTCCGTGTATTCTTGTGCCTTCAAATTTTCCACAAATGCATAATAATCCAGTCTAGTTGTAACTTTTTCACAAAGCTTCAAATTACCTATATTTATAGAACATTCTTTTTCTCACTCAAACTCATAGAAAATACTGACAAAATTTAATAGCAAAAATCTAGAACACCGTGTATAACATTCGTTACTTAACCCTCATCCGTCCCTCGTGTCAATTTGACACATTTTTCCGGTAAAAAATTGTAGGGTAATTTCGAGAGACCAGGCAAGTATTGGGTTGTCCGGACAGTTCGTGCCGATTGCTCCCAATTAGAGGAATTAAGGTTAGCAATTGAGCAAAAACGTCCAGAAATGGCGAATCGGAAGGGCGTCGTGTTTCACCAGGACAATGCGCGGCCTCATGTTGTCCTTAACAACGCGACAAATGTTGTTGGAGCTTGGTTGGGATGTTGTACCCCATCCACCATATTCACCAGACCTCGCGCCCTCAGATTTCCACCTATTCCGGTCTTTGCAAGATTCCCTTAATGGAAAAAATTTCAACTCTTTGGTCGAAATAAAAAATCACATAGAAAAGTTTTTCGCTGAAAAACCTGAGAAATTCTGGAAGGACGGAATTTTCAAGTTGCCTGAAAGATGGAGAAAGGTTGTGGAACGGAATGGCACTTATGTAATTTAATAAATATATACCAAAACTTAAATGCGTTGCGTTTCAATCTTCCTTTCAATCTTTCCGGACAACCCAATATTTCCTACTGTTAGGACAGCAAGGGGACAATTTTATGATACGTGATTTCTAGTTCAGCAAACCGTTATTTTTAATTTAGCAGACCGGTCTGCAGCCAACTTGCGGCACCTAGAATTTCTCAAACATTAAAGAATAGACGTGATTTCTAGTTCAGCAAACCGTTATTTTTAATTTAGCAGACCGGTCTGCAGCCAACTTGCAGCACCTAGAATTTCTCAAATATTAAAGAATAAGCTATTGCTCAGTCGGTAAGGCAAGGTATCACAAAGTCACCCCCAAAGGGTCTTCGAAACCGATGCAATTACCGAGGCCTCTCGGTACCTGACCTTCCGAACGAGTCGGAGAGTCAGAATTGACCTGGCAAATTCCCGTCCACCAAGGACCAGCTTCGTCACCCCGGCTCCAAGGACGTGACGCGCTCCGGGCGCAATGGAAGGGGGTGATACGGGGTTGGTCACTTAGCAATTTTAAGGACATCCCTTCGCGTCCCTTCTTCAAATTTTAGAAGATTCGGAGAAGGGACGACTCGATAAGAAGGCCGACTTAGCTTAAGACGAGAGAGTGTTAGTACACAGACCAGCAGTTACCTCAGGAATCGTAAAGATTCAGTCAGACTCTCAGCGCAATACGTTCAATCTTCAGACGGCACCAAGTGCAATATTCGAAGTACGCGGAAATCAGTACCCGAGTACTTAACACCTACATTATCCGCCAGATATGGAAGAAAAAACACTGAGAGCCACGCTCGAATGAATACTGACGCGTTTCACATGCCTGGTCTGTCTCTCCCGCCGGTCCATCTCTCCCGGAATTACCCTATTATTCGGCTATTTGTAGAGACAATTTTTTGCCTATTTTCCATGTTTAACAAAAGAATTTACAAAATTGATTATTTATCTTTTCGTTCAATTGATTGTTTACCATTGCGTCAAATTAACATCCAGGGAGCTATTAAGACATTGGCGACGGGGCTCTTAGAGCAGCGCTTAACATGTGCACGGGGTGATTTCGCGTCTTTTCTTTCAATCGTCACTTTTCAACTAATTATTATTTTTCAAAGAAATTTTCAAGAATGTGGTAAATCACTTTTTCGTAAAACGTACACAATTATTAGAATTCGTGAAACATCTGTCGCGGCATTTCTGAAAAGAAATTCAATCATTTACAGCGTTTTATAAATTTACTTTCAGACAGATATGTGAAAATCTCAATGACGTATTTCGCGTCATTCGGAATATGTGCGTCAACCGACGCAAATGTGTTAAGACCGGAAATTGAGGGACAGACGAGGGTTAAACGTTGCACAATTTACGATGCTCGACCCGAAAACCCGAAAGCTTATAAACCGCGATCGGAGCAGGTGTCGCAGATTTTCACGCCCGTTTCGCAACTCCGCGATCGCGGAAACCCGTTTCGAAAGGGGCGAGGGAAGAAAAGTACGGGCGTCGACGCGAATGGCGTGGCACGCACGAAATCGACTCCACTTTCGCAACGTTTGACCGTGATAAACTGGTCGAGAGCGCGCGCGGGGCACGTAAGAACAGGCACAAGGCGAGTCGCCTTTTACTTTCGATATCGACGGCTTGCGGTAAACAGACTCGCCAGAGTCCGGTTACGCCGAACGAAATCGACTGAAAATTACACGGAGCACACCGGCCTTTCTCTGCTCCGTGCACAGACTCCGAGGAAACACGGGGAAAATACCGACTTCCTTCCGGTCGATGCTCGCCACAAACGTTCACGATAATGGACAATCCACTGCGTCCTTCGGTTTATTGCGTTTCACCGTTGGTCTCAGTTATGATAATTGTGACAACTTGCTTCCTTGGAGAGAAGCTTTCAATTTATCGTGGCTACTTCTGGAAACGTTTGCTCCCGGTTTGTTTGTACGTTTGAAGTGTGTTTGAACGAACGTTTGTTGCTAGGTTTACTTTATAGTATAATTATATTAATAATTTATTGTACTATAAGATTCTTATATTCACTATATTTATTCAGATACATTCAACATGGATTCATTAATAACAATAAATTCTATAATATAAGAAATGGTAAGTTAATTAATTTTTTTACATTAATAATACATTGAACACCATTAAATCTATTTATTGTAAACATATCTATATTCATTTATTTAAATAGTTTAAATAAAAACAATGATTTGTGGAATCAGCAATGTAATATTATCTACTTTAAATTATTGTTAAAATAATAACTACAAGCTTCATTTTAATAAGACTAATTTTTACTAATTTCAACAAAATCATTATTATTGAATGAATAATTATAGAATAATATTTTGTACTGTTTTATATTTATAGAATTGAGTCTTTGTGTTTATCTTTATTATTTTTGTTGAATTCAATCTTTATATTTATCTCTATTATATTTATAAAATTAACTCTTTGTACTTGTCTCTATTATTTTTGTAGAATTAACGCATTATATTTATCTTTATCATTTTTGCAGAATTAACTCTTGCAGCAGTTCCAGGGAAGTAGTAGAAAATGAATTTGTTCGTACGAGGACTAATTTTTGAGAAAAGTAAATTTTTCGAGGAACGTCTTCTAATTATAATATGCTACCGATCTAACGTTGCCTCCAAAGAAACGTGTGTCTGCAATTTACTCTCAGAATTACAACCAAGTCAATTCTAAGTTAAAGTTATTTTTTTAAAAAACAAAATCTCCTAAAAAAATTTGGTTCCCCTTTTGCATTTCATTTTCTCTCGTAGACAGTAATACAACATGCCACCCTATATTCTTTCTATCCTATTTAATGACGC